GTCATTTAAAGTAATAGTGCAATAATTTGCTTTCATGTGTTGTATCATCATTTTCAGTCTTACATTAGGACAATATATTTATATAATCTTTCAAATCCTTCTGTTTACGGTAAGACTGTTTTGTGTAACTAGTAAATAGATCTCTAAATTATACAAAGATGTTTTAACTCACTATTTTAACTTTATTAATGTTCCTAGTAACCTATCAATGCCAGAGGTAATAATCTTTTTGTTTAGATTGGAAATTAATGTTGAGAACTTACATAAGTCTTTAAGTTAGAAGTAGCAAAAATCCATTTCCAGTTAGAATTAACTAAAATGTATCAGAAATTCCTACTGTTAGGCATCTGGGTGGCTCAGTCGTTAAGTATCTGCCTTTGGCTCAGGTCACCATCCCAGGCACTGGGATTGAGCTCTGCATCAGGCTCCCTGCTCAGCAGGAAGCTTACTTCTCCCTCTCCCACTCCTCCTGCTTGTGTTCCCTCTTTTCACTTTCTCTTGCTGTGTCAAATAAATAAAATCTAAAAAAAGAAAAAGAAATTCCTAATGTCATAAACACTTGTTTTCTTGAATCACATTAGGCTATATATTCTTTTATATGCATGCAAATATTATATAATAGTATATAAATACTAGACCTATTCTAAAGCAACTTTGCTTTTTGGGTCTATAATATCTGGACTTCATTTACCTAAGTTGGTGTCTGTGAAGCTGGTTTGAAAAAATATATTTTCTTACTTATATGTTTAACTTCGTGCTGTTCAACAAAGACAGTGATAATGGTTCTATTTCCAGTTAGGATCGTGCATTTGGATTTTTAAACTACGGGTTGTCTTGGATTTGACATATTCATGTATCGGATTTCCATATTCGTGTATTTCCCACATTTTCCTAAATTTTTTTTTTCTAAAAAAGAATTGTAGGCTACATTCCTCAAAGAGTCAAATTAATTTTCTTATATCAATAAATATTTCTCTCCTGAATTGAAAAGTGCATCTCCTGTTGATTTTGAAATCAAGAAATAAAAAGGCAGAATATTTCATCATTCAGTCATGGTTGTTTTGAGAAATACTGATTGTTGATACAGGAATTCTGAAGGTATAATAGTTATTATTATAGTAGTTACAAAGTTGTATCTCACAAATACCAAGCCGTAAACCGGCTTCGGGATTTAAAATGGCATGATTGGAGCAGGGCATCTGGTGGTGGGGGGGTCAGTAGGTTAAGCAGCTGCCTTCGGCTGAGGTTATGATCCCAGGGTCTTGGGATTGAGTCCTGTGTAGGGCTCTCAGTGGAGAGCCTGCTTCTCTCTTTCCCTCTGCCTTCCTCCCACCCCCACGTATGCATGCTCTCTCGCTCTCTCAAATGAATAATAAAATCTTAAAAAAAAATTTAATGGCATGATTATTTTTCATTTATTAAGTATCCCAAATCCTCAGCTCAGTTAAGAGTTTGGGACTCATGAAAACAGAGTTGCCTGTTGTGTCTCCGTCTCTTGCTTTTCTTTGGTGTGCTACAGATCTTCTTAAATTTTACTGTGGTTACAAATTACCTGGGAATCCTGTAAACAGGTATTGGGGCAGTATTCTGGGATAGATCTTGATATTCTGCTTTTCAGTGTACTTAAGTGGATGCTATTGCTGCTGGTTTGGACAACACTTTGAAATAGCAAGAATATATAGTAACCTCTTTTCTCCCTTCTTTTCTATTGGGAAACCCATTCTATGTGGCACGAGACATGACCCAGAATTGGCCAATCGGAATCTCCCCTAACAAGTGATTTGGAGTCAAGATAGCTTTCTTCCAGGAGCTAAAGAAGCTGGGGTCATCTTTCGTGGTCCAACAAATATGAAAGAATAAGGCTAATATGAAAAAGGGCAAGTGAAGAGAGATGAGACACGAGTGTGTCCTCAGAGCATTATTTGGATTTCTGGATCCGAATGTACTTAATATACATCATCCTTGGAATTACTGGTTAATACAGTTTTTTACTTAAGCTGGTCTGAGTTTCTTCCTGTTACATTATAAACCTGAAAAATATAGGTAAGCTTGGCCATTCATTAAATCCTAATTGGTGATAGTTTGGTTAAGTATAGATGACAATACAAAAGCAGGGCCAGGTAACTGTCAATTGTATGTAACTTGAAACATGTACGTAAGTCAGTTTAAAGGTATTCTAATACAAATTTAGAAGCAGTTCCATTCCCAATGTAGAGAACTACTTCTTTATTATTACAACCTTGTGCCTTCACTGACGAAGGGGAATTTGGATACCTACTTTTCCACTTTGTAGATGAAGGCATCCAAATTCACACATCTTGTTTAAGGCTACATCTAAAGTTACAGAACCCAAAACCTAGGTCTCCATTTCTCAGGGTGTAATTCTTCCCCCAGTCATTTTTACTCTTTATTGTATAAAGACATTGTCTTTATTGTATAGACATTGTGTAGATTGCTAGCTCTTATTTCCATAAGATTGATTATAAATAAATAGTCTTAAGTGTTTCTAACACACTTTATATGTGTATACACATTTGAAAATACGGGAGAATGATATAGTAAGGCACATATACAACCTGAGAGCTGATCTATGGATATATAAATATTGAAATATAAATACTGAAATAAGGTAATTTTCTAAACGTGAGTAGTAATTCTAATGTTATAAATTAATGCCAAATCCACACATTCTTTGAAAAAATATTGTTTAAAAATTTGGAAAAAAGTATTTTTGTAAGTTTAGTTAATACAACTTTTAAAGTTATGTGCTCTTAAATACTAGAAACTTGGACACATCACTGCAAGAGGGAATTGGTACCTGAAGGTGAAACTATTTTACCTGGTTAAGTTTGGTTCATACAGAGGACTGGCATTTATAGAATGAACTTACAGACCAGACAATTCATCTAAAAAAGCATCTAAAAATGTGATGAATTATTATGCCATGATAATTAGTATTAAAAATTCCTTTAAGGCTTCAGTAATTCCCTTTGGTGGCTTGAAGCAATTCCTACCCAGATTGGCTTAAAAATAGAGTTTAACTGTAGTCCTAATAATGTTTCCATGTATGATGAGTTACTAACACGATCAAGATTCAATTAAGTCTCCAAACAATTTTACAAAAAAGAAAAAAAAAACAAAAAACACTTTATTTTCCACAAGGAAGAGCAATAGGAAAAATTAAATCATTTCCCACATATTGTTTTCTTAAAACAGAGCCTACAAGGACATATTCAGCACCAAATAAAACAGGAAAAAAAGAGAAATTACAAACAGCCATAGAATATAATCTATAAAGCAAACATTTAATATTGCACTTTGTTTTGCTAATGTTTTGGATTTTACTTTTCCTAATTGCAAAATCAGGACTCTATCTTGAATACTGGAATACAGCTGTGAACCTCACATCTTATGTCAGGAATTGACCAATATTTGGAAAAGAGTAAAGTAATGCCTCTAAATAAGAAAAGTAAACAAATACTTTAATGGGGTAAATAAAACTTTATTTGATAAAGTTTTATATATATTTAAAATTTAATCACATTTTGTGACCCAGTGCCAATTATCAGAATATTGGTCATTCTCACTTCATGTGTTATTTATAAGAGTATATGGTGATAAGTATTCCAATGCTATGCATATCAACAATTGTTCCCTAGTCAGTTAGACATGAGAGAGAAAAGAAAAGGGATTTTCAGACAACCTCCCCCCCCAACAAAAATAAAACCACCAAATGCCCTTTATGCCAAATATTCCATTAGCTTCTTTTGAGGGGGACATTCACAAAATGATTTAACAACAATAAAAAAATATTTCACCCCCATTTCCTTATTATCTAGTATTAGTTTGCTACGGGAGCCCAAACCCTTTACTGAATCACTTAAAACGTGATTCATTTTTACGCTGGGCTTTCTTCACCCTGTCAGCATTTTTCAAACATGAATTGTCTTCCATGTTTTCTTAAAGGCCACTTATGGAAAAGCCTATTTGTTTTGTATGAAGCTTTAAGACAGTATTTAACCAGGTCAAGCACCAAGCCAGAGTTACTATTATTTTCAGCCACTTTATTAACTATGGGGTTAAATGGCAGATAGATGTAACACCCATTTCACACGTATGTTGCAACATCACAGATGCTGATTTTCATTAAAAACATCAGAGCTGAATTCCTTCTAAAATAAGACCATTATTACACTTGGTACCTTGGAAAATGGTTTTTAAGTGTCATCATGAATGCTGGTATATTTGTTATGAGCCAACTGTAAATTATCTTCAATACAAACTATAATTTACTGATGTAGTTGGTCTTATCTATATATACTCAAAGTGAGTGGTTTCTCATGTTTAGCAAAATGTTCTTTAGATAATGGAAAAAATACTGTCACTAAAAAAACCCCACAAAATAAGGAAACAGTTCTCATTCCAGCACATGTTCTAGTATTTGTAATTTTGTATACATTTTCAGAATAAACTTGGGTTTTCGAGCTCTGAGAAGTTGGGAGCGGGATAGGAAATGTATAAAGTAAACTCTCTAATCACAACCTGAATATATATATATATACACACACACACACACACACACATATATATGTGTATATATATATATGTGTGTATATATATATATTCCTGCTCAGAAAACACTGCATCAGCAAGATGATTTCCAACATATGTGTTTTGGAGGTAATTAAGTAACTCTGTTATAAAAATAAATGCACTTTCTCCTCCTCTCCAGTGACTGGAAAATTTCTTAAAATAATAAAAATAATAATTTTTAAGAGCATCAAGCCCTTAACTCTTTGCTGGTGCCTGCCATACTGCCTTTCTTTACTCCATTCTTAGCTCTGCTAGTTTCTTCTTTTATGTAATGATAAAAAGGGAATGTGGGTGGGTTATCACTTTTGTGTATGTCCCTTTTCCAAATTTCCCTCTCCAAAAAGCCAACCAACCAACCAACCAACCAAACAAAAAAAAAGTAACTCAACAGTGCAACGAAACACAAATAGCATTCCAACAGTTTGGCAAGTGATGCGTTCACCTGAGATTAAGTGATTTTAGGCAGTCAGTAACAAAATGCTGCTTTGCTGTAATAGTAGAAAGGCAACAAATTCTTAAAAGAAACCAAGAAGGTATACAATCTTGACAAAGTCTCTTATTAGCTTCCTCCTCTTATCTCTTTTCCCACATATCTGTTGCGTATCTACTACAGTAGGCTGCAAAACATACAGCAAGAAGGATTGGCTTGAAGGCATTTGATGTTTGTAAATAAATCCACAATAGGATCCAAGCTGAAGAGGTGATACATGGTCAGCCTAGTAGGACATTTCTGAGCATGTGCATACGCAGGTAAAGTCCAGGCTATATTAAATTAAAAAAAAAAAAAAAGTCAGTGCGTTTTTTTTTCATGTTAAAGTTTTTTCAAAGCTTTCTTTTGTTCCTTGTTGTGCTGACCGCAAACAAGTTTTTAAACAGTATCAAGAGTCTGGCATAAATGGAAAAAAAAAAAAAGCTGTAGTGACATCAGAACTGCACAATGTAAGCATTGAGCATGTGCAAATTTTCAAATCAAAAGAAGGAAACCATCCCTCTTTACAACGTGGTGTCTTGACACGTATGACCATAGGCTAAGAAGACTGCTCTTAAGTATGTGCCTGTTTTAAAGGAGAAAAGCTTAGATCTTCAAGCATGTTGGAGCAGTCCCAGAATGTTGCTGTAGGCTTCTAAAGCATGATCACTGGTTGTTTCATGTATTTGCCATTTTTCTGGGCAAAAGCAATTCCACTTCCTCTGAAAACGTGTCTCCAAGATACTTCTCTGTCCTCAGCTGGGAAGAGATACAGTTCGGAACCCACATCAACTTGATTTAACCAAGTGTTCCTTCAACGAGAGGGGCAGGATGGTCTATCATCTGTTGATTGATCAGGATTTGGATCAATCTAAAAATTAGAGTTAAAAAAAATTACAAAGTTATCTGATAAAGTCTAGTAAAAATGCAGCAATGACTAACATTCTAAGTACTACTGAGGAATTGAGTCAGAACATACACAGCATGTAGGGGAAGGGAGAAAAGGATACCAATATTATCTGTGAAGTGCCTGATAATTACGAAATTAATAAAAATTTTTTTTTTAAGATTTTATTTGACAGATAGAGATCACAAGAAGGCAGAGAGGCAGGCACAGAGAGAGGAGGAAGCAGGCTCCCTGCTGAGCAGAGAACCTGATGCGGGGCTCGATCCCAGAAGTCTGAGATCAAGACCTGAGCCAAAGGCAGAAGCTTAACCCACTGAGCCACCCAGGTGCCCCCAAAATTAGTAAAATTTTTAAAGGTATGCCCATACGGTGTTTTATTCAGCAGTCAGTAGTACTTAAGACTCAAAATACAGAGTGGAGAACAATTTCATAGTAATGATCTCCTTTTGTCCCTTTTCATCCTTTTACAAAAAAAGTCAACTCTTTTCTAGGCTTTGGGAAGAATGCAGTTGTGTGAACAGTGTTCTTGGTGGTTATCTGAAGTAATAACCTATGAATGTTAAACACTAGAGAAGGCCTAAAAAAACTGTGTATCAAGAAATAGCAATGCTAAACCCAGAATGCTCTAGAGTCTGCTCACCTTCTCTATGACTAGAGAGACTTTAATATGCACATACATTTAAGTAAAATTAATATATTTCAGTTGATTCTCAGGTAGAGAATGAGCACAGGAAGGCAACTGGTTGGCTTTAAAACATTTCTTTTACTAAACATCTTTTGGGTAAGACCCATTTTTATTTGCATTTAAATGTAGCATACATTTAGGTATGAACATTTAAGTTCTGTGAGTGCCTCACAGAACTTTAGGTAAAACATGTTTTTGAAAGAAAAAAAGCAAGTAACTTTTCTTTTAATGACTTAAGAGAAAAACACTTTAATGCAGTCTAGAACTTTTCCCCTTCTATGTGACTATTAACTGAATCACATTCTGAACCAATTTAGGATTTTAGAAATTTTTAATTCTCTTAATTATCTTTAGTTCACTTTAAAAGGTGGTAGTAGAATTTTGCCACAAATTGCTTTAAAGTGGATAACTGAGATTTTCTTTTAAAATGCCTGTTGTAAAGGCAGAAAGTCTCAGATCAAATCAGAAATTACTGACTTAAGATAGAAACATCAGCATAAAAATGTAACATAAATCTGTAGCAAGTGGGAGAACTTTTAGCACGTAAGGACAAATTCTGTGAAACAGACAGTGGGATAGTATGGCTAATTAAGAATTTGCAAGAACAAATTCTAAATATCCTATAATCAACAAATAAAGTGATCTTCTATTAACCACATCTGGAGGAAAATGGACTCTTCTAGCCATGATCTTAAAGCGGGAAAAGCAACAATTTCTTGCAGAGTGAAGCAATCCCACTTAGGTCTTATTTGGGAGTAATATTTCATTGTTAAATAGCTAATCTGTGATAACCAAAAGGGTAAGGCTAATTCTAGTGATTTACAAAATTACTTAGCATTATATTGGTATCAATGCCAACTTTAAAGCCCTGCACAACATATATTAAGATGTATTCTGAAGAACTTCAATCACCTTCCCAGGGAAGCCTTTCCTGATTTCCAGGGCCTAATGAACTACTCTTCAAATGAACTGTGTGCATTTCTATCGTTACGGAATATTTTGCTTCTAAATTTGTTCTTCGCATCAGTCTGTGAGCTTCTCGCAATAAGAGCCATGTTTTATTCACGTAATGCTTAGTGGTCATCAACATGAGATGAATAAAATAATCAGTGTAGAAATGTTTGTATAACCTGTTTTGCAAATATGTTATTTTCCCCTATGACTGGGAATGTTAAAATACGCAAGAATTAAATTGGAAAAGGATGATAAATAAGAGAAATTCTAGCTACTTCAGTTCATGCATGTAAAATGCCACTCCTACTGATGCTTTAAAATATGAATTATTCCTTTAACAGGCACTTTGTAAGCATGATATTAAATCATTATCCCTACTTCCCCAATAATGTAAGAATCCTACTTATTATATTATTCTATTAATATAATGATAATCAAAACCTAACTGTATTTTTAAAAAATGTCTGTAATGCTGTTTCCCAGGAGAGTCAGCCCATTTCAGACTTGAGCTAGTGCTTACCTCTGAATAAAGAGGTGGAGGCAAGAACCGAAACTCCTGGATATATGCAAACAGTGGTCCTTGAAGGGCTCTCTCAAAGTCATCACAAGCACTCACGGGTGCAAGATTGTTCCGCCTTTGTTCCTCTGTTACCACTTCTGCATAGCTGGGTGGTGCTGAAGGAAAAAGATACACGCAATTCGAACACCATGTTCTTATGCATGTCAAAATACACAGAATAGTAGGTATTAAAAAGGAATGTCAAGATAAAAATAGAAATTGTTTTGTGATTAAAACTAGGGGGATATGGGTTTTAAATCTAATATTAGGGACACATCTACTTTCTACACATACAGACAAAAGTTTAATCATAAGACATTAAAGGCAAAATTATGTTCTTCAAAATATAATAAGAGAATAGGCTTAAACATGCATTATCAAATTACCTTCAGGTCTTTCACGTAGAGATAAACCAAGCCAGTTCATATTCATGCTACACTGACTGCTTACACTTGAGGTTCTGCTACCAAATGGATGTAGAGGAATGGTACCAATGACAAGTGGCAAATTAAGAAATAAATCCATAGCTCCAGGAATATCCACATATACCTAAACATTGAAAGGAGATGGTAGGTTTAGTATTACAAGCATTCTTTCTTTAAAAACTGATAACCCAACTTTAATATTATCTTAGGCCTTCATTTACTTACATATACATAGAATATAAAAAAAAAGTTCCATCACTACGTGTAGTACTACATGTAGTAGTTTACATGTGAGGTAAAATTATAATTGTAATTCAAATTAAAGTTTTACATGTATTTGTATATATAATATACAGAATACAAAAACCAAATCCTGGAGTAAGATAATGACTTACTTACTATCATGACTTTAATACTAAACAAACCCTTAAATCTATACCTACCATTAGTGAATATTCCACACGAATTATGCTACAGTCGAGGATAGAAGGAGAAACTGGTGGAATTTTCAGCAACTTTCCATTCCATGTATCTGTCTTTCCAGATGATAAGGATTCCCCACGTAAATTAGCCACAAGCTGTTTTACTTCCTTCATTTTCCCTTTGGCATAGAAGGCCTGTGTTTGGTAAATGGCTGCCTTTGGCACTACCATTCGGGAAGAGCAGTTCTCAATCTCAGCAAATATCTGAATTGATTCACCTAGAGGGAAAAAATATGTATCTACTGTTAAACAAAAACAACCAAACCTCCAAAAATGTAGATTCTTAAGCCAAAGTCTGAAAGGTCAATGGACTACATGGATGAAAAACAGTCCCAAAAGTGGCAAGAAACTTAGAATTGTAAAAATGAACTACTCATGTTTAGTAGCTGTTTAAGAACGGATATTACATTCACATTTATGAAAGAAAACTGGGTTATTCTTACCAAAAATATCATATTATATGTGCATTTAGTAGAAATACTAAATACTTAATACACAAAAGCTGAGTGAAGAAAGATCGTTTTCTGTGGGAGTCCATCTCATACATACCTGGGGTATAGCCCTTCCTTTCGATTTTGGCACTTAAGGATATTGGGCCTGAGGTACAGAACCAGCAACAGAGAGTCTTTTCTTTTGTGCCTGCTTGGGGTGACTGTAAGAAATAAATTAGAGAAAAAGGTCAATGCACAAATTAAGACAGTGTTACACAATGTTTTAAAATAAAACCCTAAATTTTTAGAGAATTAAAATTAAAAACAGTGTTGTTTTTTTCCAGGTGTATTCAGATATACTTTTAAAAAAACTAACCGATGGCTTCTGAATTATACAATTACTTTCATCTTTATATATATTCTCCATCCACTTAAAAAAGGGTAGAGAGCTTAACAACATATTCCATAAACACAATTTTAGCTCATATTATTTACAAATAAAGTAATTAAAAACAAACCAAACAAACAAACAAAAAAAAACCCTTTCCACATTCCACTTCAACTGCCTTAAAAAAAAAAAAGGCAGCTTGGAAAGCAACTTGGTTACAATCCCAAATGTTAACATCTTTCTTTGAGAATATAAAAATCAGTTATGTGAAAAAAGGAAAACTCTCATTTTTAAGATTCTTATTTGCTTAAAGATGTTATCATTTGTTTAAACCAAATAAAGTTTTTAAAGTCAAATTTGAATATTGTGAAAAAATGCAATTAAAAAGGATTTCTTTTAAAATATGATTGATTTTTCATGAAAGTGACGATCTCCCCATCACCTGACAACTATCCCTATATTGGAATATGCAATGCAGTCCAAGGTTTAGATTATGATCTTTCAATGGTAAGTGATACTGTCTTATAATAATTGATACTACTGTTCTTTCTCCACTGAAATTATCCAGGGAACAAATCTATTTTTTGTTATTCTTTTAACTTCTGAGTGAGAATTATTTTGTACCATATGCTGTTTTTAAAGTTTTCTTAAATTTTCTTAAAGTTATTATAATATCAGAAAACATGAGCATATTCTTCACTAATTTGTGTGCTCTTGACTCTGTTTTTAAAAATAGTATTTATGGAATTTAAAATCACTCTTGTAAAAGTATAGAGACTGCATAGTTTAGGTGATTATTCTTTAGTATTTATATGCCAAAAACGAAGAATGAAGAATTCAGTCAGTTCTTACCAGTAATGAAGGAGTGTTGATATCTATATGCTCAAAGACTGTAAATTCCTTCTTTAATTTTACTGGTAGAAGCCAAGGCCTGTGCAATTCGGCTTTCACCCAATAGCGCACACTGCCATGTCGGCCTTCGAATGAGGTAGCAAGTGGTCTGTGCAGAATATAAATTCAATATATTAATTTTATTCCTCTTTTTAAGAATTATACAGTTGGTCAGCATAGAAGTGTTACTATATTCCACTGCTTATATATCAATGAGGTAGCAAACAGAATTTTTTTTTAATTTCTAAAGGGATAAGTCATTGGGGAAAAAAAATCTTCTGTTTTCCAAAAAACAATAGCTAACACTAAAGTATTATAGAAATTTTGCTTTAAAAAGCCAGAAGAATACAATCCCTTTAAACTAAGAAGAGGCTGCTTTTAACGCTGGTGGCAAAATTATGAAAGTCTGGAAATCAATTCTTGAAATCAAAAATTTAATTTAAAAACAAAGTTAAAAATGGTTTTAATATTTCTTTTTTTTTTAAAGATTTTATTTATTTATTTGACAGAGATCACAAGTAGGCAGAGAGGCAGGCAGAGAGAGAGGGGGAAGCAGGCTCCCTGCTGAGCAGAGAGCCCGATGTGGGGCTTGATCCCATGACCCTGGGATCATGACCTGAGCTGAAGGCAGAGGCTTAACCCACTGAGCCACCCAGGCGCCCCGGTTTTAATATTTCTATTAAGAAAGTTTACATACTGGCTTAGGAATTCTCTTTTTTTATAATGAGAAGATCTAGAGAATATCTAGAAGAGTTGTTTTAATTTCAAAAATTTCACCTTTTACAAAGTCTACTGAAAATCTAAAAAAAGCTGTGTTTCCATTTCCTAGTTTTCTCACGTTCTAACTCTTTTTTGGCCATGTTTTCTAACTGTACAGGCTTAATAAGAGAACAATTCTGTTAATCTCTATCAAGGGAATCAGAACTGGTTTTCACCTCTCCCAGATTTCATTAATTGTGGAAGGTTTTACTGCAGTGAGTTTAGTCTCTTTCATAATTTCACTAGCAAAATGCCCAGTGTTCAGTTATTTACAAGGTAAAGTGCTAGCTTAGATTAGCATGAAAAGTAGTGGGATTTTTACAGATTTTTATTTTTATTTTTTTTGGCATTTGAGACTCCTGCATTAACATGTATAGCATGGAAAAATGAAATGTAGTATTTATGTAAGTCTTCCAGAGTCTATTTTAAGTGACTTTGGTTGATAAACTAGTGAGACCCAATTATTAGCAATAAACTAGTCAGACCCAGTATTAGCAATATATTCACAGACTTACAGTATTTCTCTTAAAGCAGATTAGGGCACTACGTTTAGAATGACGTTAAATATTATGGTAAATAGAATACTCTGAAAAATATCATTTATGAATTTATCCGCATAGTAACAACTCAAGTACTACAATTAACAGAGATACTAAGAAAATTTGGTGGGGAGGGAATAATCGCTTCAAAGATCTATTTTTACATCAAGAACAAACCACTTTCCTTTTTCCTTACTATATTCCATGCCTTATATTCAATTATCTGATAGGTGTTTCCTTTTAAATCCAGGTCATAGAATCAGTTGTATGACTTTTATAATAGGTCTTTGCACAGAAGCTACTAAATTCATTATCAAAAGATCATTATAAAGTTAGATTATTCCTAATTATGTTTATCTTTTTATATTACTGCTGTGGGTTAGCATTAGCAGAAAAGATAAAAGACTGGATTTTTATAAATTACTGAGTTAAGAGTTTTGTTAAGTTCTAAATTTCCACTAATGTCAACTGATGATAAAATAGAAAGTGCTTACATTCTGACTAGCACCTTCCAATTCACTCAGGGTACATGAAATACTATTTAAGTTTTAAAGACCTCACAGATTTTGAGACAGAGTACTAAGAATTGAGCTTTGCTTTCTATAATTCTGCCAGGCTATATTAAAAAGCAGCTTCTTTTTCAGTGTATTGTTTTCCTCTAGCAACATTCAGTGATGAAAAGGGTTTTTTTAAAAACTAAAAATATTTAAATTTAGAATAATTTTAATTAAAAGAATGGAGGTTTATGAAAAATGCCTGTTACTCATAATACTTACGTCTGTGGAAGCTCGAAGCTGAATGCATATTCATGCCTTCCTGAATGAATAGTGTTGAAGCCTTCTTCTGAATTATCATCATCTAAAACAAACAAAGAGAAAACAAAAGACTTGATATTAAACCATTACACACTCTCCCTGGTGGCAGTACTCTAAAGGTACTCCTATAATAATTAAGGCCACAAGCTTTGGAGTCTGAGAGATCTTAATTCTAACTTTTGTCACTTCTTCTGTGTGAGTTACTACAAATTCCAACTCTTCTGTGGCCTCATCTGTAAGATGGGGATAATCAATACTTATGTCCTTAAAGGCAGTTTTTTTTTAATGGTAAATGACCCAAACTGTAAAGCATTTGTGTCTAACATAGTAGATGCTCAACCAGAGTCAGAGCTCAAGTCTCTAAGAGGTTATCTTTGTCTCCAATGGTTTACTTAAAAATTTATCATAAGACTATATATAGATTAAAATTTGTGCAAACCTTTAAAGTCTGTCAGTTTTGATGCAGATGACATGAATGTTACAATTTAAAACCATTAGAAAACTTCGTCAAATGCTTAAGTTAAAAAAAAAAAGGAAGTGATATTTAAATGTCAGTTTCAGAGCTAAAAATAAAAATTCTTTATTGAACCTAAAATGTTCACACTAAGTTTGTCCTAGCAACAGCTAAAAATCTGCACATAAAAATATATCTTACGATTTAAAAGGTTCCTGCTTACTGGGAAACAACACTGTTCCACATCCTTGAAAAATGAACTCTAATTAGGCTGTTCCCAATTGCTAGGAGAATGACCTTTCATCTTATAACCAATTTTCTTTAGGCCAAATATTTTTTAAATTTCTCCAAAATATATACATGTTTAACGAAAATGTGGGAGAGGATTCTGAATTCTTAAATTGACTTTTAGTTTAGCTGAGTAGTGTAATTACATACACGTCTTTACTGATGTATGATGTAGTCTTTCATTGTAAAAGCCAGCGTTGGCCATGAGTGTAGATGAAATTGGTATTCTCATTTAACTTTCTCTCACCAAAGTATTGAAGGGACACAACGTGATGCTTCCGTTACATCAAAAGAGAAAAGGGGGGAAAAAGCGTGTATCTGCGGGTACTTTTATTCAGAAACTATGAGAATTCCTTTTTATCTCAATACTGTTTTTCCTCGCGCCCGGTGCAAATCCTCTGAACGAATTTCAGCACCGAAAACCGGTGAGTTGGGGGCCATTTAAATTCGCTCCCCTCGAAGGCGCCCGAAGTTTGCCTCCCTCTCCTTTTCTTCCCTTCTCGCTCCCTTTTTGTGCCAGCTCAGCACTCTCATTGAGGCGAGCGGCGGCGGCCGCGCCGTGGTAAACAAGTGCCGGGCTGTCAATCAAGAACTAGACCGGAGCAGGAGAGGACCGGCCTAAACCGGCGCGAGCAGATCCCAGCCGGCCCGCCCGCGCGCCGCCGCCCGCGCGCTCCGCTATACATACGGCATACGTCGCGCGGCGCTCGCGCTCGCGTTCGCGCAGCCTAGCCTGCTGGACAGGGGGCGGGGCGATGGCACCGCGGCGCTTCCGCTTTACACGCCCCAGCCGGTGACCGGTTCGATCTGGCTCGGGCCACCCTGACACCTTTACAGTTGCGGTGAGGGAAACTGGGGCGGGGAGGGAAACTGGGGCGTGGGGGGTGGGGAAGGAAGGCCAGGGTGGCACAGTCTTTGGGAAACAATGGGGAGGGGTCAGAGGATACTCGCTGAGGCCTCTCCACCAGCTTTCAGTGTCAGTATCACTCTTCCTTCTCCCCCTGGCCAGCCTTTACGGTCTGTTCCCAGGTCAAATCAAGGTAGCCGGTCTGGTGACTACACAGGTCGGGAAACACGCTTTCAACTAGGAGGCAGGGAACGCCTCCAGAAGCCACCTGACCTCTTCCAGCCGAAAATCAGGAAAACGGGGTCCCGCTAACCCTGCGTACCCAAGTTCCTTCTGAATAGATTTGTCAGTTAAAGTTACGCCCAGGGGCCATTCGGCACCTGCGAGGCCAGCAGGAGCTACTCCTCATCTACTCTGCGGAAACCCGAGATAGCTTCTTTTGGGGCGCCAAGCAGGGAGGTGAGGGGCGACAACATTCTGTGACATGAGCCACGACGCCTCCAGAAGCTGCAGGAGGGACGCGGGTAGGGGCGGGGGCAACCACTCTGGAGGGACCTTTACCGGCGCACGCCGGTTCCAAGCCTCGCCCCAACCGGCGCGAGCCCACTCTCCCCACCGCCCGCGCCCAATCCAATCAGAGCCTGGCATCGCCTTAGCAACAGGCTAACAAACGCGGCTCCGCCTATCGCCGGGCGCCCGGGGCGGGGTCTCAGTTACCAGGCTAGTTTGAGAGGTCCCACTTTTTAAGTCATTGAAACTATTCCAGCTAAGAGCTTGTCCACGCTTTGCAGGGGTAGAGGGGCATCTCGTGGGGTCCGGGGTACATAGTTTTGTTTACGAAGAAATCCTGGAACAACTAATGAAATTGTGTTTGTCCCCGTAAGTCATTATTCTACTTTTACTCCATTGCAAGCCTCAACTCCCTCAAAACCTTTGTTTCTTATCCATTTTATAAAAAGCTACAATGTTCAGAAAGGTTCAAAGACAAACTCGTGTCTGCTTTCCAAAAAATACCAAGGCTGTCATTCGGCATTTGCATCTTACCAGTGTTACTGCTTGTAAATACTAACTAAAAATTATTTCAGGATGCAGATTACCTATGTGTAACTGAAATCCCAACTGAAGAACTGATTTCATCTTAATATTTAAAAAAAATGATTACATGCGGTAACTCAAAGCATCCTTCATTTCGGCACTTGTCTTAGTTCCATTTGCACTTCCTCAGGGATGTGTATTTTTTTAATATAAAAAAAGGTTAAAGACGTGCTGTACTTTCTGAAAAATCGTTAACATTTGAACTAAATACTGCATTAAAAAGGAGAAGCATAAAATTACATAACCAGTTTTAACATTATATTCTTCTTGGGCTAGGAATTAAGTCATCGCCACCACCTGACGCGTGTAACCAATCTGCTGAGAGCAGAACAAGCGCCCCTCCTCACCACCCCCCAGAACTGGTCCGAAACAGGATTGAACCGCTTCTAACAAAGGGTGGAAACTTAGAAAAACAAGCTTAGAGTCTCCTATATTTCCACAATGTAACCATTTAAACAATAGATTGGAAATCTCAGGACCTCTTCTCGCTTTGACAACCGTTTATCTCCCTTTTCCAACCAAAAATCAAATCCAATGTGCCGAATACTTTTCAATTCCATTTGACTGGCACGGGTTTCATTGAATGCACGTTCCAAAGTTAGGCATCATACTCGGAAAAGAAAATTACCCGAAATGGTTTCTAAAACTGATTTGAAACCTATCATAATGATAGATACTGTCCTTTAAGATAGAGAATGCTTGATGTAAATTTATAAAAGGATCTGGAGAGAATAGGGAAAAAACACGTGGGGTGTTGATACCATATGTCAAAATAAGCCACAGAAATCCTTTATCAAAGAACAATGATGAATTCCTTACACTATTTTGCGTGTCAATATTAAAAATGAAAAGCACCTACTAATCCACTTAAATGTTATTCCATTTCTTCACTGAAGCTTAGTTTTTAAAATCTACGGTTGCACACTGCAAGGAAAAAATCGAATACTGGACTGCAGATTTTAGCATTTCATTTGAAAACTTATTAATAAAATCACTGAATGGGATTTAAGTAGAATTTACAAATAAGGTAGAAAGGTATTGCAAGTGCGTATGGAACAAACCAAGCCGGGTATAGAGGTAGTTGAATTAAGTGCAGTTTGCAGTCACTTTGCAGATGCCTGCATGCATTACGGTTTAAGACACGATGAATGTCAAGGAGAACCCAAATCTTTCAACTTTGCTAATCTTTAACTGCTATGTGTTATGCCAGGAGCTGAATTACATTAATTCAGAAAAACTGAAAAGGTACTTTCCCAAAGGAAAAAAGGTCTAATGACTTCTGAATAATATAAAAACTTACCTCTTTCGTGTCCAATTAAGATGTCTTTATGGTTGAAATATTCTACTTCTTCAGTGTAATTCTGTGTATAGGCAGTATTGGAGCCGGCGTTTCTTGATTCGGTCCAGCGTACTTTCGCATGTCCTCTTGCATGAATTTTAAGAGATTTCACTCTGATTTCCCCGGTAACTTCTAAATTCACCCTTCCTGAGACTGTATCCCCACTAGAATACACAGGGACATTGCTGTCATTAAGACAGTCAAAGCTTATTGTCAAACTCTTCACCTTTCCCAGCACCATGTTTATAACAAAATCTATAAAAATATAATGTAAGACAAAAAAGTCGAGATCACATATAAAACGTGATCTTCACCTAACACTGATCGATGTCTTTGCCGTGCAAAAAGCTTGCAGGCAAGATCAGTGATTCTTTACAAATAGTTCATTGAGATTTCTTTAAAAAGTCAGGGCAGCAGAGAGGCTGCTGCTCCACGATCCTGCTAGTCTCAGTGGTCTCCTTACAAAGACGGGCGGCTGGAGCCTGCCAGCTCACTTTAAGAGCAGCTTTGTGAAAAACAACCCCACTGCGCATGCGCACGCCGCGGCTGCTGTCCGCCCTCTCTGCGCGTCCCCTCCCGCGCCTGGCTCGCTCCCTCGCTCGCTCGCGGGTACAGTAGGTGTACAGCTAAGGGAAGAAGACACAGGGGCTGTTGGGAGGCTGAACCTGACTTCTCTTCATTCTGGGCTCTTATTGGTAGGCAGGCTACCGTAAACCCTCGACGTGCTATCTGGAGCCCCTTCTTACCGAGCACACTCTAATAGAGAAAGAGTGGGGGCACAGGGGGACAAGGGCTGGGTGGGAAGTTGTTTGCAAAGCCACGTAAGGATAAACTGCTGAGTGACCAACCCGAAGCGTGCGTTACCGGCGCTGCAGGGTTTTGGCCACTGCTTGGATGGGAGGTGAAAGAAGTGGTGTATGAAGAGAGATGGGGGAAGGGGAGAAAGAAACCGGTTGGGCGAGCGACTGGTTGCTGAGCATGATCTAACGAATTAAAAAAAAAAAAAGTAATAAAACACAGACAAGAAATAATGTTCATAGACAAGAGCATTCTTGGTTTGGATTTTTAAAAAGACCAGTGCGTTGTAGGCAGTGTGGAAATGAACTCAGCCGAGGCCAAAGGAACCTAAGAGAGGCCAAAGAGAATACCATAAGGGAGTAAGAAAGAGAAGCAACTGTAATTTAATCAATAGGGTTTTTTTTTTTTTTTTCTCCTCAACTGTTTTCTCTTCCATCTCGTAATCAGAGAGCAACGAAAAGCAACGAAGTTGTTTGCAGGATGACACCAGAGGGAAAAAGGCCTGACCACTTCCCAGAAGGAAGAAAAGAGACTTTTTAAAGACACCACCTACAGCTAGATGTGCAGTGTGTGACATGATTACAACTCCTGTGTCCAGAGGATTAAAAATAGAGTTCGGCCTCAAAAAGTACCACCTTATTAAGAAGCAGCATGACACAGTGTTTTAGTTGACATCATATCCACAGCATAATAGAAAAATCTTTGTTAGAAATTAGTGAAGCCTGTAAGATGGTTTTTTAAAAAAGCATGATTTCGTGTATAAGTAGAGCTTAGTTTTGTAAAGTTCTAATATTAATTTTTACCAGACCAATAGCCCAAGACTCTTCAACGTAGTAATTCTCATAATACATCTTAAAGACAAGTACAGTTATCTCTTTTTTGTGAACATTTTGGTAACAAATGGCAGTGTTTTCATAAAATCACACTGGGACTCAAGGTGTAACAACTTACACTTTTCTAGATATTTCAATCAACAGAATTGTTTCTAAGAGGAAAATGTAGAAGGAAAAAATATGAATCTGGAACTATTTTCATAAACAAATACACTTTGGCAGATCTTTTGCCTATACTCATTGGTCTTGCTGTTTTCTTGCTTTTGGGGGAAGAAAATTTTATTTAGTTGGATTTTAGTTGACAAGGCAGTTAGATTCAGCGTTGTATATAAAAATGCAAACTGGAGAGTTAATGGACAGACCATTTATCTCTAACAGCGTTTAGATGGTTATGTTTAAAACTATGAATATGTGTATTTAAGGGGGAAAAAAGTCTTTTTTTTTTTTCCTCTTGGTTGACACCTGGTGGAAATTCTAATTGTTCAAGTGCTTGGAATCTTGTACTAGCTTTGGTTAACAGATACTGCTTGGGTTTTTTCGCCACCTAGTGGTAAAACGTGAATTTGCTAAAATGTCTGCTGCTCAGCCTTAAGGTCGAATCATTTATTAAGCATTCAAATGACATTGGACAAGAAACGGATATAAAGTGCAGTAAACAATGAGACATTCTTTAATAAATTTGCTTTAAGTTATTTTTGGGCTAATGAACAACAATTGAATTCTTCAGAATTTTTAGTAAAATTTTTCTAGTTGGAACATAACTTATTTCTGAAAATTAAAAATCAGCGTTTTAAATAAACTAGAATTGCATTTAACCAGAAAGAACCCTAAGAGATTTACTTGTAGTTTGGAAAGTTGTTTTCCCATATTAAATAATTAATTTCTGTGACTATAATGCATTATTCCTTCTCTTTGAAGCTTTTAGGATATTATAGGTTACTTTAGGATGTTATTTTAGGATATTATAAGTTATTGGCTATGATAGGATATTATAAGTTATTGCCTTTATTATTTATTTTGCCATTTCTCTCTCTTTTTTTTTTTTGTGCTATGTTTTCCTAAACACTTAGGTAACCAACAAATTGCCGGGAAATTTTTATTCCCTGTCATTTTTACTTAAGATCCTACTCACTTAACCTAATTATCACCTTTCTTCACTTTGGTTTTAGTCATATAACTGTTTCTAAGTGTCTAAACTTGAGTTTACGTGTTCATTTTGTTTACCCCCTATTCATTCCAACTATGGAAACACCAGAAACAACAAACAATGAACAAACAACTCTGGCACCTTTAAATTCCTGTTTATGTTTTTGTTTTTAATGTTTATTCAAGTAATCTCTACACTCAATGTGGGGTTCAAACTCATAATCCTGAGATCAAAAGTCACATGCCCTTCTGACTGGAGCAGCCAAGTGCCCCTATGCTTTCCGGTCTAAAAGAAAAAATAATAATTAAAAAAAAACCCACTTGGACTAAATTTTGGACTAAATGTTTTCTCTCCTGAGTTTTGTGACCTTCCCTTTTCAAAACTCCTTGTCTAAAAATCTGCCCTTTATATAAGTTGAAATGTACCGTAGCTCTTATCTTGGTCTTCTGGACTTGTCTCACTAGGCTCTGATTGTATTTTGCGTTAAGTTTAAGCTATTCATCTTTACCACCAAGGCTCTTTCCTATTGCACCCCAGCCTACGTCTCATATGCCATCTCCTCCTACTCATCTGCTAACTCTCTATACTCCTGTCAAGTACATCTTCTGTCCCCTTTGTTAGGCTGTCTCGCTGTTGCCAATGTGAAGTTACATGCTGCTTTTTGTGCCCAGAACAACATCCCACTGCTGTTATCTCCTTTTCCATCTTCTAACCCCTCTACTAGACTCAGCTGGCACAATTGAATAAAATTTCAGGTAGAGTAACTAGCACCCCCTTCCCTTTTTATAGCTGTGTCAGAACTTAAATAGAAATCTGTCTTTATGGTATTTGTTTCTTAAATTTTAAATTCAATGCCTATTGCACCTTACTGTACAAAGGTTTGAACTCAATCTCAAGAACTTGTCTAAAACTGACAAATGATAATCACTATCAAGATATTTAATATTGATGTGGTATGTAGAAATACTGCCAAATCTGGAATTTTTCACATATCAAAATGCTCAATATTATTATTCAAAAAAAGGCAAGCCATCTCAACTGAAAGTTTGATTATAGTTGTAAGAAAAACCATACCAGCAGTTTTTTTTAAATCCATGGTTAATCCTTATTTCAGCTAACACTTGGTAGGCCTAAATACTGTAGAACTAGGGGCATTCTGTTTTTGTTTTTGTTGTTGTTGTTTTGTTTTTTTTTTGGTCTTAATTGTGTATTTCAAGATTTTGTAACTGGCTTTTTTTTTTTTTTAAGATTTTTTTTTTTAAACTTATTTGAGAGAGAGACAGACAGAAAAAAAAAAAAAAAACCAATAAAAAAACAAACAAACCACGAGCAGGAGAGAAGCAAAGGAAGAGGGAGAAGCCCACTTTCCACTGGGTATGGAGTCTGATCCATCCCAGGACCCGGAGATCCTAGGCCTGGAACCGATGGCAGATGCTTAACCAACTGAGCCACTTAGGTGCCTCTGACTTAATTCTAATATCTTCAAAATGCAACAATGACTTTGGTGTGGAGACTGGAGGCAAGATTTGCTATATTATTAGTAAAATGAGTGAGGTTTTTAAATATTTGATAATTATATGGTATGCTTGTTATATTTTTCATACTTAATGAACATTTAAATGTGTGGTGAATTTCATCATAAAATTCAGTACCAAATTTTTGTTTCTATTCTCCCGCATTAAGATATAGTGTGATATGTTAATCTTTTTATTTTTGATTTCTTGATTTAAAATAAAGTCATCCATAATTTGATCACCCAGAGATACCACTATTAACATTTTGTTACATTTCCATCTAGGTATACAACTGGTAGAGAAAAGCATTGCCTGTGAAGCAAAAACAATGCTTCTCATATCATTAGAACATTTTTGACAACAGGTTTGATTAGTGGCTTAAAGGGAAAATCTGTTGAATGAATTTATAACACGTAGGTCCTGCTAAGTTAGATGATTTTGTAAAGTTTATTTATCTAGCCCTAAGTGGCACTGGGCCTATGGGAAGGATCAGAAATGCTAAGTTCCTTTTTTTTTTTCCTTAAGATTTTATTTGTTTATTAGAGAGAGAGAGCACACAAGCAGCAGAAAGGGGCAGTAGGAGAAGCAGACTCCCTGCTGAGCAGTGAGCCTGACATGGGACTTGATCCCAGGATTTTGGGATCATGACCTAAGCTGAAAGCAGATACTTAACTGACTGAGCCACCCAGGTGCCCTAATGCTAAGTTTCTTTTCTGAACTACTTTATGACTTTTGACCAGGCACAACTTTATGTAATGAGGGTAAAAAAGAAAAAAAAAAATCTAATTATAATAACAAACATTTTCTGATGGGTATTGAATTTTAGTAGCAAAATATAATTGAATGCAACCAGTTCTCAGTTTTTTTTTTTTAACCTCAAATTCGTATTTTGCTAACTGGAATTTCATATTTGATATCTTACTTAGAGAATGTTGCTTTTCCAGTTATCTACATTCTTCTTGTTGATGAAGAGGATCGTTATTATTGGTAATTTTTAAAACCAAAAACTTGGGGTGCCTAGGTGGCTCAGTCGGTTAAGTGTCCAACTCTTGGTTTTGGCTCAGCGTTGTGAGTTTGAGCCCGGCATCCGGCTCTGTGCTGATTGTGGTGCCTCCTTAAAATTCTCTGTCTCCCTCTCTCTCTGCCCCTCTTCCTTGCTTCTCCTCTCTCCTTCCCTCTCTAAAAAACAAACCCCCAAACT